CACACATACCCACAACACATGTGTGCACCCACCAACTCCCTAACAAAAGGATAAACTTCTGAGAACATCCCAGTGAAAGATGATGTCATAGGATAGAACCCTAAAAACAGAGAGGAGAGATGGCAGGGCAGAGGACAGCAAAGGGGTGCGGGCTTTTCAACTGAAGCAGATTCACACAACATAAGATGCGTCATTTCTGAATACACAATTCAGTGGTCCCCAGTACACACTGTTGGGCAACCACCACCCCTGGCTTGTCCCAGAACATTTGCATTACTCCATACCCCGCAAGCAATCAGTTCCCATTTCCCCAACATCCCCAACACCTGGCAAATGCCATTCTCCATCCTATCTCGACGGATCTACCTACTCCAGATGTTCCATTAGCAATATATGGCCTTTCGTATATGGCTTCTTTCACTTACCATAATTTTATTTGAGACCCATTTTGTACTATCACTACTTCATTTCCATTTTACAGATAAACAGTATTCCACACTACATTGATATAGTACATCATTTATTATTGGCTGGTGTGAACAGTGCTGTGACTGACCATCTGTGAAAACGCCCCTGGCCAGGGATGCACAAGGGCTGGAGCTCCTCATATAAAGCCCCTTTCAAACTCTTTCTAGCTGGGCAGTGGTAGCACATGCCTTTAATCCCAGTGGGAGGCAGAGGCAGGCAGACCTCTGTGAGTTCGAGGCCAGCCTGGTCCACAGAGTGAGTTCCAGGGAAGGCTCTAAAGTTACAGAGAAACCCTGTCTCAAAAACCCAAAAAACAAACAAGCAAAAAAAAAAAAAATTAAAAACATAAACTTTCTAGCTATAGCAATTTTCAAAACGTGGAATATGATTAATGAAACAGGAAAACCAGTATGAACCCACAGTTAAAACAATCAGGTCTAAGACATACATGGCCACACTAGTCTTGGAGGGCGGGCATAAACCACCACAGTGGGCCTGGAAAGCTAGCACAGCAGGAAAGCGCAGGGGCTGCTCTTGCAGAGGACCTGACTTAGTTCCCAGCACCCACACTGGGGTGGCTCACATCCACCTACAACTCCAGTCCTAGGAAAATCAACGAGTATCTACGCTCCTCACATGTCCACAGGCACGTACATATAATTAAAAATTTTTAAAAAACCAAAAAACTAAAGCCAGGTAGTGGTGGCACACGCCTTTAATCCTAGCACTCGGGAGGCAGAGCCAAGCAGATCTCTGTGAGTTCAAGGCCAGCTTGGTCTACAGAGGAAGTTCCAGGACTGCTAAGGCTACAGAGAAACTCTGTCTTCAAAAAACAAACTAATAAACAAAATAATAGTTGAACTATAAATTTTCTGTCAATACATTTCTGGCATGTGAATATCTCAACTATTAAAAAAAAGGCTGTCAAACTCTCTTTCTGTTTCAAAATCACAACTCGAAAAGAAAAGCTGGTTCTTAACTTTTCCTGTCTCCTCCCTTGAACTGTGGATTTGCTGCTTCTCTTCCTTCAAGGCCAGCTCTTAACCGATTCACCTCGTAATGTTCCCAAGTCGGACTGAACTTAGAAGCTGCCAGTACCACTCAATAAACAGCGTGCTAGCTGTGTGCACAATGCGTTATGCCTATCAAAGCACCTTTGTTCACGCTTTTAATTAGCTTCGCACACCTTTGGTTTCACAACAATCCCATGAGGAAGCCATAGAGCTATTATCATCCCCACTTAAGGAAGACTGAAGCACACCCTATGTGCTGAGGAAGGACCACTGGTCTGGAGTCCTGTGCCCTCGGCCAGCCTCGGCCTTACTGATAGGAACTGCAGACACTGCACTCTGCCAGACTCTTCCTCCGTCTTTAAATGAGAAGTAAAGCTGGGAGCGGTGGTGCACAGCTGTAAAACCAAGGCAGAGATCAGGCCAGCCTCAGTAACGGTGAGCTGGAAGCTAGCCTGGGCTACATGAGATTTATCTTAGTTTTCTATTGCTATGACAGGACACCATGACCAAGACAACTTATAAAAGAAAGCATGTGATCGGGCGGTCATGGTTCCCCAGGGCTAGAGTCCATGATCATCACCACAGTGGCGGCGGCAGGCAGGCAGGCAGGCAGGCAGGCAGGAGGCAGGCAGGCAGAGTGCCGGAGCAGTAGCAAGAGTTTACATCTTGATCCACGGGTACAAGGCTGAGAGCACTAACTAGAAATGGCATGGGCTTAATTAATGTCCACTCCCATGACACACTTCTTCTAACAAGACCTCCTGATCCTTCCCAAACAATTCCAGCTGGGGACCAAGTATTCAAATATATGAGCCTACTGGGGGTCATTCTCATTCACACCATCACAAGACCCTCTCTAAAGAAGTAAAGAAAAAGGGGGTGGCAGGCAGGATGGTCAATGAGTTAAGGGCACCTGCCACCTTGTATGACGACCTGAGTTCTATTCCTGGTACCCACGAGGGGAAAGGACAGGACTAACTTCCACAGCTGTATATACGCACATGCGTGTGCACACACACAAAATAAGTAAGAGGCAGACTCGGAGACGAGCTACAAAACCACTTCCAACAACTGTTGATTCTCAGGGGGCACTGCAGCTTGGCTGCGGAAGGAAGATGGTACCTCAACCACAGGTACTCCCAAGTCCTCCAGACACACCCTCTTCCACAATATGGAGGGACCTCCAGCCCAAGTGACAACTGACCCCTTTCAACATTGTGAATTGTGCAAGAGACACATGCAACTCTTCTTTCCTTCTGCTTGCCGTGAGTCCCTACTGGAGCAACCCCAGAGGGAATGTGTACGGCATTTCTTTTCTTTTCTTTTTTTTTCCTTTTTAAAGATTCATGTATTTATTATGTATACAGTGTTCTGTCTGCACGTATCCCTGCAGGCCAGAAGAGGGCACCAGATCTCATTACTGATGGTTGTGAGCCATCATGTGGTTGCTGGGAATTGAACTCAGGACGTCTGGAAGAGCAGCCAGTGCCCTTAACTGCTGAGCCATCTCTCCAGCTCCTGTATGACATTTCTAAGACTCAGTTTCCTCTGCAGGTAACCAGTGATGGGAGAGGACACATGTAAACGTTGTGAAACTGAGCTGCTAAGTGATAATCACTCAGCATTCCAACCAGCTTACAAGTGTTATCTCAGACCCCTCACAGCAATCCCACAAGACAGGTGCTATTCTTATCCCAGAGGCAGGATCTGAAGCACAGGAAAGTTAATTTTCCAGTCACTAAGTTATTAAATGGGAATCAACCTAACCTCACACCAGACACAGGCTACTGCCATAAAAACAACTATTTCTATGATCTTTAATCAGACCACATCCAAACAGGTGCCTAAAATGAACTTTATCTCTTACCATTCTTTAGAGCTAGCCAAGAAGGCAAAATTACCTTGCCTGGGGTGTAGCTTACCAATAAAGAACCTGTTTAGAACATGTAGAACTCTGGTTCAATCCCTGGTACCAACACTTCCAGAAAAAAAAATTATTTTGGCTTTGCTAGTCTTAAACACAAATTTAGCCAGGTAGTGATGGTGTGTGCCTTTAATCCCAGCACTCGGGAGGCAGAGGCAAGTGGATCTCTGAGTTCAAGGCCAGGACCTGCTTCAGGTGCTCTACCACCGGGCTTCAAAGTGAGTTCCAGCACAGTCAGGGCTACATGGAGAAACCCTGTCTCAAAAAACCAAAGGAACAAACAGACAAACAAACAAACAAACAAAACCCCAAACAAACAAACAAAAAAACCCGTAAATTTAAAGAGTACTACTTCAGACCTGATGTATCAACACATGCTTGTTGCCCAGCACTCAGAAGGACAGAGGCAGGAGGATCATTAGTTTGCAGCTGTCCTAGGCTACCCAGTGAAATGCTGCCTCCAGAAAGGAAAGGCTGGCACAGAGGTGCAGGCCCACGGCCCCAACAGTTAGGAAGTGGAGGCAGGAAGACTGTGGTTTTGAGGGCTCATTAGGTTATATAGAAGGACCTGTCTCAAAAGGGTGAGGATTGGAAAGCATGCCACTTTAGGGTCATGGATAATTAATACAAGGACAGTTTTGTACAAAGGGGCTTGTAGACTAGTCCTATCAGCAAAGAGCATCTCTGGAAACATCTGAGTCTCCTGGCTCACAGAATCCCATGGGAGACTGATAGCAGCTTTTTCTGTAGAGGTCCATCCAAAGAAATGCCTGTCTGGGAAGCATTTAGCAAAAACTCACCTTGACATTTCCTCTGCCTGAATGGGCATTTTCCCCAAGTTTTCAGAACTTTGCTTTTCACTAGCCGGTCTGCCTTCTGTTGGGCCTATCGACATATCATAAGGCAGTAGAAGAGAGGAAAAAGGAGTCATGTTTTGATGATGCTGCCCTCTCTCAAGGTTTATGAGCATTTTGTCTTGATTTGGTCTTTAATCTGTGCCTTTCCGAATCCTGCTGCAATTCCTAGTCCTGCAGGAAAGTTACTCAAGTTCCACCCTCTAACTCCAGTCTCCAGAAAGGCCAAAGGAAAGTACTCCCTTTACAGCTGTGCTACATCCAGATGTGGGACTCAAGAGGGAACCAGGTGAGCCACCAGCACCCATGCACCAAGGCTTGGACTGAAGAAGCTTCCTAAACAGCCTGGCTCCCATTCTGAAAAAGATTCCCTAAAGGTTCACCAACAAGCAGTTTTATTCTGCTTGGACATAGAATGTAGGGTTGTAAATAGAAGTAAAAGTTGACAGGTTCTGGTCCTAACACTGCTTAAGAGTCACTGGGTAACTCCCTGGCCAAGGTCCTAGCCTGCTCCCTACCCCCACTCCAAGAAAATGGGGCTAATCCCTCCCTTGATGGCTACAGGGAGGATTAAGGGTCATTATTCTTGGCATCCAGCTCTGGCACAGCTCTAGCAGTTGTGAGCCTGTTTACCCTAAAAGAAGGTATTTAATGTAAGAACACAAACAGTGACCCTTGACCCTCACTCTTCAGAATGTCTGGAAATTCTCTATTCTTCCCCTCCTTCCTTTAGCAGTACCACAGCCTGGCCAGGACCTACTTCAGGTGCTCCACCACGGGCTACATCCCCAGCCCTGTTTCAGTGCTTTCTTTTGAAAGCACCAGGTTGCCCAGGCTGGTCTTGAACTCCCTCTAGAACCTAGCAGGCCTTCAATTTTCAGTCCTCCCAGATGAGCCTCTCCAGCAGCAGGGACAAGAGGCTTGCACCACCAGCCTTGGCTGACAGACAACTTCCTTGAAACCAGCCCCCCACCCCCCTCACACACCCCCTCTCACCTCTGACCTGCTGGTTGCATCCTCCCCATACTCGGGTTTCAAGGTTTCAGGTCTCGCTCACTAAAGCCATGAAGCTTGAATCTGAAGCTCTTACTAAGACTACAAAGAATTAGCCCAGGGCTTTCAGGGTTCCTCCACACAGGCCTGCATTCACCCTGAGGAAGCCAACAGAGTTGTACTCCTTCATGCACAAGCCTGGCTCCTGAGGCAGACCAGAGAGGTCCAGTGCAAAGCACATACTGTCTTTTGGTCCCCATCAACACTTTCACCTCATCAGCTCTTTTCAGAGGCCAGGAAATGCATCTGTGGCTGGGAGAGGACTGTGTCACATAACTAATAGGAGGCCAACGTGGGTTCAGATAACAGCGCTCTGGCTGCGTAACCTCTAGTGGATATCCTGGCTTCGCTGAACCTGTTTCTTCAGGTAGGAATAACGATCCTGTCTGCCTTTCGGGGGAAGGGCTCTGATGGGATTAAGTGAGGTATTTGAGAAAAAGTATCTAGCAAGTGTCCAGTATCAAACAGAAAATCAATACATGTCAGCTTTTTACAGATCCAAATGAAAGAAAGCAGTTGGACAGTTTCGCAGGGTAACAGTTTAAAATACCAAAAGACTGCTTAGTCCAGTTACTTAAGCTTGAACCCTCTATCACATACTTGGAGCGGCAAGCCAGGAGTGATGGGCCTTGCCTTTAATCCCAGTTTAGGGAAGTAGAGGCAGGTGGATCTCTGAGTACTTGGAGGCTAAAATAAAAGATCCTGAGTTGATGGCCAGCCAGGGTTACATGGTGAAAGCCACCTTTGAACCCATCTCAAAAACCAAAGCGAAAGTGGTAACACTGCTGCTTACAGGGCAGCATGTTTTAGAAAGCGAAGTTTCTACCAAGCATGGAAACACATGCCTGTACTTCCAGGACCATGAGGCAGAGGCAGAGGCAAGGCTTGTCCATAAGTTCAAGGCCAGCCTAGTCCACCTAGCCAGGCCAGCTGTCTCAGAGAAGGGGGTTGGGGCCTGGAGACACCGTTTAATCGGTACAGCGTTTGCCTATCCTGAAGAAGGCCATGGGTTTGATCCCTGGCACAAATAGAACTATGGTGACATTTGTCTGTAAGACCAGCATTCAAGAGGTAGAGGTAAGAGGATCAGAAGTTCAAGGTCAGCCTGGGATATAGGAGACTGTCCATCCCCTCACCCCCACTGTCTTGGCAAAAAACAAACAAACAAACAAAAAAAAAAAACCTAATTTTCTCCAATCAAACCAAAGCCAACTCCCCGAGATCTGTCCTTTAATCCTCAAGCTACCTTGTGGAGTGCTGAGGAAGTCCAGTCCCTCTCCCGGTAACAATCTGAAGACAAGTATCGTGTTCCCACACTCTCAACTCTCCCCCGACACCAGGACCACAGAGCACAAGGCACCCCAGGCTCGCCTCTTAACTAGCTGTGTGAATTAAACAAGTCTTTCTTTCTTTGTTTTGGATTTTGTTTGTTTGTTTTTTTTGAGACAGGGTTTCTCTGTGTAGCCCTGACTATCCTGGACTGTGCTCTGTATACCAGGCTGGCCTTGAACTCAGAGATTTGTCTGTCTCTGTCTCGAGGGCTGGGCTCAAAGGCAGGCACCACCACTCGACTTAAACCAAGTTTTGTTAAGTCTCTAAATCTGTGACTTCATGTGCATAATAAGACAAAATAATTCTCCCCTCAGGAGACAGACCTGAGGGTTAAAATAGATAAAAAAGAATATTAATTAGCTGCTGGGGGTGGTGGTGCACACTTTTAATCCCAGCACTCAGGAGGTAGAGGCAGGTTCGAGGCCAGCCTAGTCTAAAAAAGAATATTAACTAGAACCAAGTCCACCAATATATGTCAGTCATTTTTAAAGATATAACCAGTTAGTGTGTATCTGTCAAAGTAGGCTAATCAGAATTACACGTTAACACCAAGGTTCTGGTTTCTGGTGGTGACCATAAGGACCTGGGTTTCTTAAAACATGTCAGCTAAGAAAGCACAGTTCACCAGTTCACCAGGGTCTCACCACCTATACAGCAGACCAAAGATGTACCATAGACTCTGTAAAGGGAAGAAGGAAAGAAGAAACAGACATTAAGCCACTGGCCCAAAAAAAGGCCAAGTATCACCACATTACATGCTCTCCATGGCTGTCTCTGAGATTCAGAACTGTACATGTAGCACACGATTTCTATTTTAAAAAGAAATAAATAGTGGTTAAGAGCACTGACTGTTCTCCCAGAGGACCTGGGTTCAATTCCCAGTACCCACATGGCAGTTCACAACTGTCTGTAACTCCAGTTCCAGGGGATCCAACACCCTCACATATGTAGGCAAAATACCAACGCATATAAAGTAAAAAAAAAAAATTATTTTAAAAGAGAAAAATAAAAACAACTACATGGGTCACTGCTGGGAGTGGTAGTGTGCCTATAATTCTGGCACTAAAGAGACTAAGGCAGGAAGCTCGTCATGAGTTCTAGGGTACCTGAGCTACAGTGAGTTCCAGCACAGCATGGGCTCTGTGAGGCTCTGTCTTGAAAAACGTCTCTTCAGTTATGTCCTTTGGGTCCTGAAGCCCAGGGTATGAAAACACCATACAGAGGATGCTCAATGTGTCGATAGGGAATTCCTTCCAACTGAACAATGGCCAGTTGCCTTGCTTCTTCCTATTAAGGGCTCACACTTAAGAGTCTGACTCGAGTGTCTTGGAACTGGGCTTGGAACTTCAAAACAAGTTTGAGAAGTTTCTTTTTCTTCTTATTGTGTGGATATGTGAGTGGACATGTGGAGGCCAGAGGGCCACTTCTGGAGATCTGGTGACTGAGCTCAAGGCTGTCAGGCTTGCCAGACGAGGACCCTCACCAGCTAAGCCACTTCACTGGTACAAATTTGGACTTTTGAACCATGTTGAGATTTGGAGAATTCTTCGAGGTGGACTAGGACTAAATGTATTTTGCATTACAAAAAGACTACGAGTCTGTGGGGGTCAGGGGTGGAATGTTATGAAAAAGAAAAAGCCCCTACAGGTTCACATGTCAAATGCTTTCTCCGCAGCCAGTGGCACTGTTTTGGAAGGTCATGAAACTTTAGTGGGTGGGGTTTTAACTGAGGAAGAGGTCACTGGAGGCTGGCAGCCTGAATGCTATCCCCATCCCATCTCCCTCCTCTTGCTCTGCTCTCTGTTTGCCAGGAGGCGAAAACCTCGTCACTTACTTGTGCCACCATGGAGCAAGCAGCCATGGACTGAACACCGGGAAACCAGAAGCCAGAATAAGGCTTTCCTGTTTAAAATGGGGACATGCCACTTGTGACAGCTCCCAAATTGTCCAAATACTGTAAACACCGCCATCGTGATCAGTGTGTCAGTCTCTCCTTCCTCTGGGGAAGGAGTCCCAAGCAGAAATAAAGGTGGTTGTTCAATTATCCTGCAAATTAACCCAAATGCCGTTGTTATATGGTCTACACAGCGGTCCACACAGCGGTCCACACAACGACATGACAAGAAGAGGAAGGGATCCAGAGCTCCAGGCAGTTGCTGTCTCCAGTGCACCGGTGAAATACAGCTCGCCGGGCCTGATGAAGCACGCCTGTAACTCCTGTGTTCCTTGGAAAGCTGAGGCTGGGACAGCACAGGTTCAAGGCCTGCATGGACTATTAAATCCATCGTGGGCATGAGTCTATCTCAAACATTTCTCAGGGGCCGGCAATGTGGCTGAGTGAGCAAAGGTGCCTGCTGTGCAAGCCTGACAGGCTGAGTTTAACCCCAGAACCCACAGTGAAGCAGACAATTGGTCACTTGACTTCAAACATGACAGGACACATGCATGTGTGCACACTCAACGTTCTCTCAGAGTAACTAAAATTTGTAAAAAATACTAAATTTTTTAAAAAGTTAAAAAAAAAAAGGACTGGTGATACAGCCATGTGGTACAGAGGGCTTGCCTTGCACGCTTAAGGCCCTGGTTTTCATCCCCGGTGCTAAAACCAAACCAAACAGAAAGAGCCAACTTTTTCTCAGAGAAGCCTACATCCATGCGCTGAGGCACCTTTCCCAAGCACCTCTTTCCTTCTCTTAACTCTCATGCTTGAAGTCTGTATTAAAAACATTCCTTAATAACACCAAAAGGGAAGAAACCCAGTCCAGACATGACGCCTCACACTTGTAGTCCCAGCACTCAGGAGATAGGAGGCAGGAGGATTTGCCTTGAGCGGGCAAGCCTGTGCTACACAGCAAGAGCCTGTCTCAAAAGAGAGGAGAAAAATGAAATACAATGTTGGTTTTGTTTGTTTGTTTGTTTCTGAGACACTCTTTCTCTGTGCAGTTTTGGTGCCTGTCCTGGAACTCACTCAGTAGTCCAGGCTGGCCTTGAACTCACAGAGATCAGCCTGCCTCTGCCTCCCAGAGTTCTGGGATTAAAGGTGTGCACCACCACCGCCTGGCTTGAAATACAATTTAACAATGAAGAAATCAACTGTTAAGCCTCAGATTCAGTCCAGCTAGTTACTCTCTGGTCTGTTTTAGAAGAGACAGCTCAATGATTCAAAGCACTGGCTGCTCTTGCAGGGGACTGGGGTTCAATTCCCAGCACCCACATGGCAGCTCCCAACTGTCTGTAACTCCAGTTCCAGGGAATCTATCACCCTCTTACTCCATGGGCACCACACACATATGGTGCACACACACACACATACATGGAGGCAAAAGACTCATACAGGTAAAGTAAAATAAATCTTCAGGAAAATAAACTTGGGCATTATACTCAACAGTAAAAAGTCAATTCTTCAAAGATACAAGACTCAGAAGAAAAAAATGAACTCAAACCAGAAATAGTCCAAAGGGTTCATTCATTCACTGTACGAGTACAGACTGGTCATTCACAATTTAAGTGGAGCCCAGTGAGCACACCTTGCGCTTTTCCTTACCTCCGGAAGATACTCCAGAAACATTTTCTTCTCAAAACAGTTTCAGGCTTTATTTGTTTATTTATTTATACTCGGGTTTTTGTTTTGTTTTTGAGACTAGGTCTATGTATCCCTGGCTGGCCTCAAACTCACAGAGATCTGGCAGGCTTTGTTTAGAAAGGAACACTTGTGGTGCACTCAGAAGGCAGAGGCAGGTGGATCTCTGTGAGGCCACCCTGGTCTACAGAGTGAGTTCCAGGACAGCCAGGCATGTTGTTATACATGGGCCAACTGTAATGACATTATAGCATTATAACCCCAATATTTGGGAGGCGGGGGCAGGAAAACAGAGTTTAAAGCTATCATGAACTACATGATGATTCCAAGGCCTGCCTGGGCTACATGAGACCTTGTTTTAAAAAAGGCACACACACAAAAAGAACACTTTTCTGACACCTTATCCCAATCATCCACCCCATCCTTGGAAGGAATGGAAAAAACGGCAGTCACCATACCCGGCTGTTAAACTCAAACTTGAGAACAAAACTTTCAAGTTGCTCCACCAATACATTACACCTCAAGCGATTTAAGAAAATCGGAGACCTTCCCGAGAAAGATATTCAGCTGCTAAGACAAGCCGTAACCCCTCATACCTGCTTTCTAGAAGTCGTGGTAATGCACCTGCAGTGGAGAGCAAATCAGAAGTCACCATGTAACTCCATCCAACTACAGGACTTGGGGGAGGGGGTGGGCTCCACTAAAGCTTTTCAGGAAGGGATCCTGCTGATTTGCAGTTTCTCTGTCTCTACACTTCTTATTTACCCTTTGAAGTGGGTACTAACAGCCCACTCCCAAACAGAGACCCTTTGTACTGGGCGCTACAGTCGATGATGCAAACACCTTGGCAAAGTTCAGTTTGGTGCCAGGATGAGCCACTGAAGGCATCTGCGGCTGCCAGAAGCCTGAACACACACACACACACACACACACACACACACACACACACACACACACACGAGGGAGAAGGAGGGAGAGGAAAAGGGGGAAACAGAGACAGAGAGCTAGAGGGAGAGGCAGAGACACGGAAAGAGCAGGTCAGGTCATTGACCTCTCGAAACTTCCACCTGCCTCTTTCTTCCTGAGTGCCTTCAGCGGCAGATCAGATGTCAAAAACTCCGCAAAAAAAATAAATAATAAAAGTCCCGTGATAGGACGACTTCCACCTCTGCCCCGGTGGAGCCTCCGGGACCCCTACAGCCTTCCGTAGCTCCCAGCCAGCTCTCTGCTAGCCTCCCAGCCCCGGCCCACTCTGCCCTTCCTCGCCGCCGAGGCCTGCCCCCTTCTCGGGACACCCCGAAGTCCCGAGACGGTCGAGCTCAGGCCCCCAGCACGGGAGCCGGCCCAGAGCGGGCGGCCCGGGTGCTGGCTCTGCTGGAGCCCGTCCCCGACTCGGCGCCCGCGGCGGGGACCGGGCGGCGGCGACCCGTACCTGTCAGGTCTCTTCCTGGGACCAGCAGCGGAGCAACTTCAGGAGCCCATGTCGGTCCGGGGGGCC